ATAAACTTTGTATGGTAATTCTTGATGCTGTCCTTCCCAACCTCCAGAAGTGCATGGTTGACAGGTTTTCCAGGATTATTAACACTGGACCCCACAGACTTAACAAGATCTATGTATGAGTCATCAACACTCCAGTCTACTGATTGAACATCTGATGAATAGAGTACTTCAGTTGGGCCATAATCCCTTAAGGACAAGATGCGGGCAGGTTCTGCTGCAGTATCAGTATTACCACTGCCTGCAAGAATCACTGTGACAATAGCCATTACAATGGCAATCAAAGCCTACAAGAAATAAAGAAAAAGTAGAATTAATAATGTAGTAACTGCAAAAAATATCACTGGAACAAATATAATACAATGGTTAAAGAACAAGAAGTCAGAATAAGAAATAAGGCAAAAAGAAACAGAAATGGAATAAGATATTTGGGAGCAGGAGGCGGAGAAAAAAGAAATGAGAAGAACATTACAAATATCAAGATCAGAAAGTATTGTCATGAGTGAACAAAACAGATGAGCATGCCAAGCTTAGCCCCAGATACTGAGGAGAAGAAATAAATAGAAAACACTGAGAAGAATGTGGCATGACTGACAGAAGGGAGACAAGGCAAACAGCCTAGGCATTAAATCAAGAACAGCATAAAGCAAAGTGATGATCTACAAAAGTGAAAAAGTCCAGGCCACAATGTAAATTGATATTTAAGATAATAAGGTTAAATTTTGTATAATACACTTTTCATTATATTTTTTTATACTTTATTTAGTTCTAAGATTCCAGTTATAATTCTTTTAGTTTTCTGGCTTGTGCCTGTTTTGTAAGGTGACACCATCATCCACTTGTGATGTGGGGATGCTACTAAGATGGATTAAAGTTATTTCTAATGACAATGGTGATCAATGACAGCTGCAAGACAGAAAGTACTGCATAACATGAGCTCTGAAACTTAGTACGGTTCTTGTATTTCTCATATCCACATAGCACCTTACTCATCTTTGGAAGTAGCTTAGGTGTTACTTCAGTCTCCAACATTCTGCTAATCAAATAATAGTTATGTAACCTCCATAATTATCTTTAAAAAAGATTATTCTGTAAAGTCACTCTACCATTAGTTTTCAAGACATGTTATTTCATGACTGGTACTGCAGCTGGTTAAGTTATTTTATAGAAAACTTACATGATAAATAGCAATGATAATTAATACATTTTTAATTAAATTATTGAAACTTTTTGATGGCCAAAACTTAACTGTCTGTTGGTCTCACTTGAGAAAGCGTGCAGAGAGAGAATATTACTTACCCATATTAAGTTCATTTTCCACTCCCTGTACATGTACAAAACTCGCTTCATAAACAAGGCTATTATTTGTTGAATCATCAGACTTGTCCCCACAATCTTGCTGGATGTCAAAGCTGGAACAAACATCTGATATCAAATTTGAAGCAATAGATAAAGGATGAAGAATACATAGAACAAGAAACACCAGGTTTATATTTTCACAGATTAAAAGATTGTTATTTATTCAGTTATTTTATAGGTATTATAAAAATAAGAACCTAACTTTCATCCTACTCTTCTGAATCAAGGCATTAAAGTTCATACAACTTTGGTATACCTTACAAGACATTTTTAGGCCCCTCTCATAACTGCACTGCAATACAACTACTTGCATATATTAATGTGGTATATATTTCATGTTTTGTGCATATATGACAGTGATTCATATTTGACCTGGAATTTTAAACTTTGCGTGCTAATAAATCATCTCACCTGTTACATACTGCATAGTCTTCTCAAGGTACAAAAGCAAAACTATGGACTATATACTACAGACTGTGCAAAATGACACTAATTCACACTGGTACTTACAAGAAACAATACAAATTCTGGTCAATTTGAACTCATGCATCGTATTTTTACAATCTTCTGTGTTTAAATATTATTCCACTGCTGAGGTGATTGTAAAATAGACACTTCCTCAGTCTTTCATCAATGAAACAATCACATCTCTTTTGAAAGCTATGCATAGATTTATATATTCTGAGCACTGGTACTGAATATTATTATAAAGTTCATCACTGAGTTCTGTTATAATTCTTCCTATGCTTTAAGCACTTTCTGCTCTAACAAACATTTTCATGTTTTATTAGTGAAACATTTTAATACAGAAAGTGTTAAATTAAAACAGAAATATTTAAAGTCTTTCATACCTTCAGAATTACCATTTAGTGCTATGTACCTGTCATGAATTGGCTCAGAGTTTATGCTCTTATCATATTCATCTGCAGCCTCCTTTCCCACCCTGAAAAATTAATCAACAGAAATTTTATTACAAAAATTATAACAGACGTTGTAATGTGTCAGCTCTGCCCTTTCTTTTCAGTAAGAATAGTCATTAGTTTAAAAGAAAACATAATCTGTTCTTTTTCAGTGGTAGAAAAGTGATTTTTCGGATCTCCAAAGATTTGCACAGACAATGACCATTTTTATGGTATTTATCCCTTGTAAAGCAATAACACAACCAGTGCAACTATGACAGAGCCATAAGAACTTGATTAATTTAACCTAGTTATAATCAAAGATGTGTGATTTTAATTAACAGATATAAGTGAGTACAATTACACTCAATTAGCTTCGAAATAAAATTAACTTTCTACAGAACAACACAGAGTACAGTTCACAGATCAGGAGAAAATCCCTGTTAGGAATTCGCGGTGAGTGACGACCAATCCTAAAAGCATTCGTTCCACAACCAATGAACGAACAACAGACGACAGGCTTTCATGTGTTCAAATGGGTACAGCTTTAAGTTTACCTCACAGTGGCACAGTGATTTAATCTAGAATATTATTACAACACCCACAGAACACATTACAAGTGCGCTCACTACACGCTACTCTTAACTGCTTGATGTTTTCAGTCTGTGTGCAGTAGTGTAAAACTCTGACGTATCACACTTCCCACCAATAGCAGCCCTCTAGTCCAGCTGATAAGTAACATTCCCCCCGCACCGCACCAGAAATGACTTCCCCCAGCAGGGTTTTCCTCATCATCTGTGGACAGTACTTAGTATTCACTGCCAAGTTCTGCAATATCATCCACTAGCAATTAGATTTTTATCACACTGCTAGTTAAACATAATTTCTGAAGTATTGATGAACCCTTTAATGGCCAGTGGTAAATTTATGACCCACTGGTTTTAATAATCAATAACTCTGCATTTTATATTTATGTTATGTATGATTCTCAGTGTAAACAGGGATTATTTCTGTAAACAGAATCAACCAGTTAATCTTAGTGATGGTGAAGTGTTGTTTTCTTTGTGGTACAGACTGATTTCTTAAATATTATTTACATGAGTTTTGGCTTAAAAGGGTTAATGTAATTTTGCCACATGCCAAATGATGACAAATTCTGAAGTTCTGCTTTACCTTATGATGTTCCTCATATCAGACCCCTGAAGCAGCTCTCACAAATGAAACAGAGACATCCTCCCACACTGATCTTATAGGGTAACACATAACATTCCTTGGCTGTTTCACATATATTAAGAATATGAAAAATTATGACTAAATTATTTTTAACATCAACTCACCTCAAGAATACTTCCTCAAGTGTGGTTATGGAGACTCCAATGCTAGATATTCCCAGATTTTGTTTATCTCTTTCCAAAATTTCAAACATATTAGGAAAATGTTTAGATTGCTCAGAGGGAAGCATGTAGCACAGCACTGAGCCCATTTCACTCTTAAATTCAGAATTAGGTACAGTTTTCTGGATGATGTCTGTTATCCTGGTCACATTGCAATATTTTTCTTTTAGCAGGTTTAACTGGTAGCCTGTTCCTAAAATATTCAACACATTAACATATCTAATAAGTGCTGTTATGACAAACCTTCTCAAAACATTCTGAATTTATCTACCATAGTAGGGTTTGTAATATGCATATCCATCAAGAGATACCAGCTATAGGCTAAATATTGTAGCTTTCCTGTACAGAAAGCACCAGTAACTGTTGGCATTGCATATCATTAATTTGAACAGTGTTGTTTGGTTTTAATTCAACTTTTAAACAGCTCAGATTTTTATACTTTATTTCATTTGTTGCATTTAAGATGACATAATTCAAAGGTGTTCTACAATTTTGTACTCACCATACAAATTTTTGAGAAATAAAGAAGTACCATAGCACTGCACTTGGCCATGATACATGACAGCAATCCTGTCTCCCAGAACATCAGCTTCCTCCATGATATGTGTTGTAATTAAGATAGTCCTTTCCCCTCTCATATTCTGTTAGAATGTAGAAAGTGTAAGATCATCTCATGATTCAATTCTTGGATACTCTTGGTGGGAGCCAGAAATGTTAATAAGAACAATGTGGTGTCATTTGTTTCCTCATTATATTTCATTTCAGTCTTGTGATAGGATTTTGTCATATTTACTCAAACCTGCTGGAAATTTTGTATTTTGGCATTTCAAGTCCAACATCAAAGGGACTCAACATCACATTCCTTTCCAGTGGATGTAACGTTGAGGCAGCAGTTGCACTACAATTTTAGCATTCTGTGGGAACTTCTTCCATTTGTCAACATAAATTACTTCAAAACAAAAACAGACTGGGTGTCAGAATGAGGGGGGGAAGGGATATTTTTGACTGAAATAAAAAAAATTGGAACCAGAAAGTATTAAAAGCACACTTTACTAACACCGTCATGTCTTAAATAGTACTGAATTTTTTCCTTTGTTTATACTGCCACCATAGTCTTTGATTTACCTATAACCTTCTTGCTTGGCACGGGTAAAGAAGACAGAATAATGTTGATGAGAACTATAATGACAAAGGGAACATACACACTTACATAAACTCTGAACCATGGTGAGGGCCTGATATTCTGAAAATTCACAATTTTCTGACTCTAACAGAATAGGGAAGGCACATGAAAAAATTTGCACTAGATGTGGAAGGTCTTTATTGAGAGACCTCTGACACATAAAGTGAAGCTTCGTGGCAACAAAAGTTGATGAAAGACTCTCGGGCTTCAAGCAGCATCAGGTGGCTGAATGATGAATACACCATATCTTGTGTCAACGTTACACAGCTGCCCTGAGGATGAGAGCAGAGATGGCTTTTGAAACGTTGGCACAGGATATGGTGTATTCACCATTCAACCACCTGACGCAGCTTGCAGCCTGAGAGTCTTTCATCAACCTCTGACATAGTTCTAGACCAGCAGGACCCAGTTTGTCAAATCAAGAATTTACAAAGCAATGAATATAATTCCAATCTGGATGCAGCATTATTCAATAGCTGCCGCTCATGGTATTGTTACCTTGTCAGCTAGGTCTTTCATGTGGATACAATACAGCTGATGTGTTTATAATAAAGTAAAAGAGAAGGAATTTTCATGATCCTCAGTATTTTAAAGAAACTAGATATCTAAATAACAATCAGAAAAACAAATGAATATAAAATACAATATGGTGTTAAAGTTAATGAACTTCAGAAATCTTAGGTGTAAGAACAAATTTCAGTTGCATTTACAAGTAGGTCTATGCTACATCTTTGGGCAGATGCATGGTTTGTACTTTATCAGAAAATAATAATAAACTATTTTTCTTACCAACAAGATATCCCATATTTCCCTCCTGGCTTCTGGATCCAATCCTGATGTTGGTTCATCTAAGATCAAGACCTAGAACCAATAATATATCAGAATTTGCAAGTAATGCAACATCAGAATTACCAAATACAAAGGTTGCTAGAAATAACTGCTTACTTTACTGTTTCCAATTAAAGCTATGCCCAAAGATAATTTTCTCTTCATTCCTCCAGATAAAGCTGAAGACATTTCATTTTTCTTGTCAGTAAGATTCAATATCTGAAGAAATCTTATAGCATCCTTCTTTGCTTCCTGTCTAGAGTACCCTTTCAACTGAAACATGTAAACATAACATTAAACATTTTAATTTGGTACCATGCATTAGAGTTAATTGAAAGCTGTTATCAGAACACCAAATTTACCTTAGGAGCACCAGTATTTACAATGAGAGTATCAAATATATTAAACAGAGATTTAAAAACTCAGATTTAAGAAGTACTGAAAACTGAAATAAACAGATTAATAACAATCATGGTAAACTGTTTATTTTCACTGATTACCTGGATAACAGTTATATGTACAGCTGTATGTACAAAAATAATGCTGTACCATGTAGCCCAAGTAAAATAAATGCATGTAAGACAGTGATCATTTGGAATTCATTATGCATTGTTACACTGTTTATATTAAACCATTATAAAAATAACAAATTCACAAAATTTTACATATATATATATATTTTACAATCAGGCTTTTAAGAAAACTCTTTGGCACATGAATACACACAAAACACATCAACAGTGTTTAGTTTCGGCCAGTACTAATAACTGAGCAATTTAAAAACTGGATTTTAATTACCAGTTCATCTTGTGTGAAATTCACCTTCTGTGCAGATTAACTTGTCCAAAATAAAATAAATCATAACAGAAACATGTAAAAAATATTTACAAATTCTGCCATAAAACACTGGAGTGTGGAACTACTTACCATAGCAAAAAATAGAAGATGCTCCATGACAGTAAGGTCTGTGAAGAGCAGGCTGTGTTGTGGACACAGGCCCAAGCTTTCCCTAACTTTATCCAAGTTTTTACAGATGTCATAGCCATCAACAAACACAGAACCACTTGTTGGAGAATACATGCCTGTCAAAGATAATTTATGCACAGAATTTCAAAAGAGAAAGGGTAGTAGGTGAACACATAAAAGGAAACTCTCCACATCAAAATATTTAATTCAGTATCCCTGAAATACTGGACATTGTTCCATTTCTATACTGTAAATTAATTCACACAAAACTTATGGTTTTGGTTACTTCCATAGACTAATACTGATATTTACTGCATCAAGTTAATGTTGACCAGGTCTCATCTGTGATAAATGTAGGTGGTATGTGACAAAGTTACATAAATTCTGACATAAAAATGAACAAAGACCACACACTAATACAAATGTAAAGAAGTTAACAGTGAAACTGAGCACTGAAATATTGCATGTGGCTTCTAAAGAATGATGTTACATAAGAAAATCTGTGTGTGTTCTGTCACATGAAACTGGCCTGGCTATTTGGGTAACACTTAAGGCCCAAAATTTAGAACTCAGGTTTCATGTCATATGTGATGTGATGTGATGGCATGTGTTGGGCCTAACAAGTAGATGGTATGCAAAAAACTATTATAGCTTTCACAAATGCAGTGACTTGGTGAAACCAGAAAGACAGAATACAGGTAGCCCTCGATTTGCGCCAAATCAGAATAAAGCCGATTTTGAAACCAGTAGGTCAAAAAGTGAAAAAAATATATTTTACTATTTTTATAACGTTTTACAATGTATCTCGTACTGATTCTTATATTAAATCGTAATTCTTACATCGCTGATTTTGAATAAAAATTATAAATATTTATAATCTCTCTGCAATTACGTATGTTTCGTTAATGCGAATTCAATGAATCGGTAAAAGCTGTTTGTGAAATGCAAACTCTTGCATATGCGAGTTTGCTCTTATGCAATTTCATTCCTGGCGCTTTAAACTTCCAAAGGACTAATTTAATCTCTGCGGAGGTACCGGGGATATTTTCACTATGCGATTTTCTATAGGTCGGCGTTTTACATGACTGCAGCTATCGAATAACAGCAGAAATGACTGTACACATCAATCACATGAAAGAATCGCAGTCAATTGCGGGGACCAACGAATTGCCGATTGTAGGTATATAAAATATATTTTTTAAATTCCCTTTATTTTATTTATGTTATTTCATAGCTTTAAATGTAATGCCATTATATTACTCGTCAATGTTTGGGTGCTGAGAACGCATGTCATTGATTTCCCATTGATTTACATTATAAAAGAGTTTCAATTTACGCCGGTTCGTCCAGGAACAAATGCCCGGCGTAAATCGAGGGCTACCTGTATATTAATCAGAAGAGGTCAGTGAATGACTAAACTGTAATCAAAGATCATAACTCTCAGCTACGAAGATGAAACTTAAAATATAAAAATAAAACAAAGCAGTGAAGGCAATAACATAAAACTATAAATTTAAAAACTAAAGTAAAACCTCTGGAAATCATTATTAATAACAGATACCTGTAATTATTGATCTTACAAAGAAACAAAAGATGCATTTATTTACATATAACAAGTACAAATAATATATTTATTTTATTGAAGGGTTTTAAAGAATTGAAAACACTCATGCACATAAATTCTGTTTCTGCCTTATATTACTGTATCACAATTATATTACATAAGCCACAGATAACTGCTGTTAAATATAATGAATTCTTCTTTGGCTACCAGCCATGTCAGGTGGTTTAATGAGAAAACACCTGACCTGACATGGTACTTAGTTGCCGTAAAAACTTCAGACCATACAACTGCTGTTAAATTTACATAATTTCACTTTGACTATTTTCAAAATCCTGAGTTTGCTGTGCTGTAAAGAGTAGTATGTTTTGATTTATTTGCAAACCTCTTGAATCATTAATATAAACAATGACCACTAATACTAACTCCATAAGGTAGAGTCCTGGAGAATCTAATAGTCACTGAGCTAGTCAAGAAATTCCCAACCTGATACTAAACCCAAAGATCATTATCTTGTCCATGACAGCATGTCATTAATAAGAACACTTAGTATCACTATGTGATGTAAACCATTTATTTAAACCTTTAATTTTAAAATGTTGTCCTGTTAAAATAAGAAAATTCTATCTAAAGCTTTGGAGTTCTAAAGGTTCTCACTGTCTCATCAGATTAGCTGTACTAATTTTGGACAGAAAGTGTCACTCACTATTAAGTTCTTACCTGTGAGGATTGACATGGTTGTCGTTTTACCAGCACCATTATGTCCAAGCAGTGCTGTAATCTCTCCGCTGTAGATATTTAGAGTGACTCCATCCACCGCCACCTTCTTATTGAATCCACCCAGTGACTGAAATACTTTACGAAGATTTTGTAACCTAATCCCAACATGCAGATTATTAGGGGTTTTTTCAAACCTTGTGTTAACTTTTGTTTGATCACCTGAATAAAATTCATCATTGACCTTACTGCTGCACCAATAGGATGGCTGTAACAGAAGAATCATATTTATTATAGCAATGTACACTGTAAAAATTAGCATAAAGGCATATACAGAGCTCCATAATCATAACACTTAACTCTATGGTATAATGATTAGCACTACTGTTAATGATCAGAAGATTTCAGGTATAAAGAATGGTTTGAAGACCTACCATCATAGTGCCCCTCAGTCTCCCTAGGAAAATGCAGCAATGTGATCTAAAAACAGGCCACTACAGCTTTGTTCCATGCTTTTCCCAATCTATTATTCATAATTATCCTGTCATCCAACATTATTCTCTTCTATGCAGTTGATAAATCATCATTAAACAAACCACAAACCCTGATTTCACCTCTTTCTCCATCCCTTAAATCTATTAGTTCTCCACAGGCAATGGGAAATGATAACTTAATGTTACTGGTGGTATCTACTGTGTGGGTTCTTGTAAACATGGTAATAAACTTTAGGGTTCCATAACATGTTGGGAACTTCTTGAGGGCTGAGTGACTGTTGGCTTCTCAGGAAGAACTCAGCTCCATGAAGTGGCATCTACTATTTTCTCACAAAAGTGGTGACAATTGACATTTACAAGATCAGACAAGGACTTCTTTTGAAGAACAGCCCTTGTGAGGACCTCACAAGGGCTGTTCTTTGACCCCTCTCTTTTTTTCCTTTCTCTCCCTCTCTCTCTCACATGCTCCTATTGGTCCCCACCCACACCTGATTTGACACCTGCTCCCATTGGAGGCTACTCCATGCACTGTCCGGTTCCTATTAACCTAGCCCCCCTCCATTCAATTGGCACATTCTTCGCCCTGATGACAGAGGCAGTATAACCTCTGAAACGTTGGTAAACATCTTCCATACTACACGGCGCAACAACCCAGAAGACAGAAATCTTCCTGCTTAAAGCTGTTTGTTCTCTGTGCCACATCTGTTAAACCACTCCCTACATCAGACATGGACAGCCTCAGGCCTGATCTTGCTTTTTCATCATGGCCACGGGTCATGACACATTTCAAGTAAGTTATTATAAGTAGCTGAACCTCACACATTTCATTCTTGATTAAATTTACCTTACTTAATGGGATCTGGTATGAAATAATGATCTGACTTCTAATAGAAGAACAATCTGTAAGCTCTGTTCTTACAAATTAAAATTTGACAATCTTTTATATTAAGGCATTGCAGAAAGATATAAACTCTGTCTTGTAAATACAAATAAAATGGATGTTATAAGCCACAGATAATTGTATTGAAATAAACATGTCACTGGCCTAGAGACAAATAGTAATTAATATTTGAGATCTTCGCTAATATAGTATATTACTTATTTTATAGTTAGTTATTAGATGTTTCAGCCTCTTTTTTGCTCATCAACTGTTAAATTTGTGGACACAATATTTTCACAAGAAAATTAATTGTTTTTAATACTGTAAAAACTTAAATATTTCATACCTCTGCTTTGACTTAAAGACTCTTACACCACTAAACTTAAGAAATAATAAATATCATTATCATACCATAAAAATAAAGTACCAGGGTTTTGCCACTCCATATTTGCCTGGCATGACAGAATCAATGTACCATGTCACAATGCTATATATGGCAATGTCCACAATAAGCATCACCCATACAAGACCAACACTGATGTCACCTTCTCTACCACTAGGATGTGAAAAAAAATTTCCCCAGGACAGTCCCTCACCTAAAGAAAGCAAGAATATCATATGTAAAACCAATACCAAACTACTAAGTAAAGGTAACAAAAAACTGAAAGCAACTACTGATATATGTTACACAAAAGTTGACATAAATAAAATAGACCTTTTCTTACAATCTTTTAAATTCAAGAACTTCACAAATCATTCTACTGATGCTTTCATGAAATTATTAACATAGACAGTCAATAAATGGAGGCAAGAACTAATAAAGAACTTTAAACAGTAAACAGGAAAAGGGAATCTGCTAATTTTAACTGCTATTCATAAGAAATACTATGGAATATATAATACACAGTCATATTTGTGTTTAAATGTATTCAGTGTAATGTTCAATGTTTATGAACAATAAATAATCTTGCCTGTATTGGCACTGTGGTAAATGTGGCAATTCTTAATTATTTTTCTCAAACCATGGCAGAGAATAATTCATATTAAAGAACCAACAATAAAATAAATTTATGTTACAGCCAGACTACACAGAACAACAATCTAGATGACAGCCTTCTTAATACTTGCTGCCATGAGAACCTCAAATCCTACTTAGTAAACCTCCATGGTGAGGCTACTCTTTGCTGCATTCACCAATGCAAGGTTACTTATTGCTGTAATGACAGAGGCAGCAAGTATCTCTAAAATACTGGCAAACTTCTACTAGACTACATGGTGATACAACCCAGAATACAGATATCTTTTACTAACCACTTGCTTCCCAGGATACAATCAAACCAAAGCCCCAACCAATTGCTGTGTTGGGAAGAACAGCAGATAAGAGTTTGACACCCAGATCAACAGAATCTCCAGTCATAACAAGGTAGGCTGTAGCGGAGTATGTTGCAAACCACAGAACAAAGCCAACACTCATGGCCAAGTTTGCTGAAATCATTTAACATTTTTATAATTATTTGATTTCACATGTATGCTTCAGAGACATGTATATTTCATAGTGTAACCACTAGCCTACATGTAAACTGCAGCTGGGTAACATCACAGCACACATATGGAAGTAATCAAGATGATGTTAGTAACTGTTTATCAGTTGGTATCAAAACTTAACAGGAGAGATAAATATTTAAAAAAATTACAGATTAATTTTGTTTCTTTTTTATAGAAATTAGTAGAACCTATTACGTCTTATTTAAATTAGTAACAATTTCCAGATTAAAGTTATATATCCAATTTATGAGAACGTGAGAAACACTAATCAGGGTTGAGATTCAGACAGCAAGAGAGATGCATGCACACACACACACACACACGCATGCGTGCAAACACATGGACGCGCACACACACACACAACTACCACAGGGGCTCAAAATAGCCAAACATACATATTTGTAAGTAGTTTACATAGTTTGAAATTGATTAAATTAGAAGTCAAATGTAAACATCAAATTCCAGTTCAAATATCTAAATGAAATATGAAAATACAACTAAAGAATGACAAGAATGGGAAAGAGAATGGTGACAACTTTCCACAGAAAGAAAACTATATACACAGATTCTATGGATGTGGAATAAGTCATTAAGTATAAAACATACAGATGAGTACAATTTAAAATATTAATTAAGTTTCACATATGATAACAGCTGGGATAACTCAGTCAGTATAATGACTAGCTATGGGCTTGACGAATGGGGCTCAATCCCTGAGAGGAGGCAGAGGATTTTCCTCAAGCCCCGGTGCCCATACTGGCTCTGGGGCCCACCCAGCCTTCTATCCAATGGGTACCGGGGTCCAATCCTGGGGATGAAACACGGCTGGGGCTCGATGCTGACCACTCATCCCATCTAGTGCTGAGGTCAAGAATGAGTAGGAGCTATATTTCCTCTCCCGCCAAACGACCTACATGGCATGTAGCAGGACTGCTGTACTTTACTTTATTTCACATATGATACTCAGCAACAAAATTTCTTCCTTTTAAGCAGTCACTAATTACTTCCTTCTGGAAGAAACCTTGCTTTATATAATCAGCTCCCTACTTCTTCCATTCGTGTATCTGACATCTGCGATGAACAGTGCCCACATAATTTACATAAATATTCTTAACTAATGACTCCAGCAGTTAAATTAAACAAATGAATGACCTGCAACTGAACAGTTACAAGTAAACATACAGTATGTGTTACCAGTGCAACTCAATTTGTAAACAAACTGATTGGTGATTATCAATGTGGATTCCATCATAACAGGTCAACTACTGATATATTTTTATTTTGCATTTGACAGACATAAAAGGCAATAATGACTCAGTATGTCAGCCATTACCAGATTTATAAAAATGCTTATATTCAGGTAAGATAGAGACAATGCATAACATTTGGTTAACATCGACCAGTCTAAACAGCGCAACAACCCAGAAGACAGAAATCTTCATTTTGCTTCAATTTAGAATTTCCAAAAAAATTGTGAGGTTAATTGAAATGTGTATGTATGAGATGTCCAATAGATTACATATACGTAAAGATCTATCTGATTAATTTCTAACTCACAACAGACTGAAACACGGTAATGTGCAACACTTATTGCCTTTAATTTGTTCCCAAACATGCTATGAGGAAAGGCTGAAATTGAGTGGTCTTGTATAGGCTAATGATATTACTTTTATGGAGGAAAACTTTGCAGAAATTGTTTTTTACAGACCAGCAAAAAAATTTCTCTACAAGTACCTATGGATAAAACTAAATACATAAGCATGCCACAAAATCAAAATCTATGTCTTTTTTTAGTACAAATAATAAATCACTTGAAAACACTTCCTAATAACAGTATCTGAAAAAAAAAAAGTATAAATGAGGTTTGTTAAGAAATTAGGTGAGGAACAGATTAAGGAAATTCAGTTTCTATTCTATTTAATCCTTTTATCATTACTTTCCAAAACACTAGAGAACATGGGTGTGAAATGTGGCTTTCATACTCTTTGAGGGAAAATCTTGAATTACAAGTTTTTTAAAAACAAAATTGTCAGAAAGATATTTAGACCAAGAGGGACAAAGTAAGTTGACAAGAACTGAGATTTTAACACTATGGTAAATCATAAACTCAGTAAAAATAATGATACTACACATCCATAAACTCTAAAGACATTTAAGAGTTTAATACATTTTCAAAAAATAGTTCTAGAGACCAATACTAATTTGGAAATAGTTATCATCATAAGTCACCTGCATGAATCCAATTTTGTGCATATGACCTGACATCTTTATATTTTGCCTAGTGGAAGGTCGTCAAGTCTCCATAGCACATGATAAATTCACTGAATCATCCATCACTTATCAATGTCAATAATGTTTGTCAGATGTCTTATCTAATTCTATTGTTTTACAGTGATTCAAGTCAGAAATTCTGTGTAGTTTAATACAAAGTCAAAGCAGTTAACAACAAGAGGAGTCCATTTACTTATTTAATTGTATATTTATGCATTTACAAAGAAAAATGATGCTTTACTTAAGAAACATTATTTGAAAACCACACTGTTGCTAATAATGAGGTGTAATGTATGGGTAAATTTTAACCTAATTGTTATCTTTCATGAGATAAGCTATAATCAAAAAATAGGAAGGGCATGTGCATCAAAGTACATAATTTAGATAACAGAGATTTGGCTTCCAGGAATGTAAAGTTTATTTTTAATGCATTACGCTGCTAGTTCATTCATTTAATTTCTTGGAAAATACTGAAGATAATTAAACATGAGCCACCCTTGTGCTTTCTTTGCTGTATATACCAGACTGCAATTCATACCCCTGTATCTGGACTAGGTATCTTAAATCGAAACTTTTTAATACCATTTTATAATTTTTAATGCTAAATTATGAATAGACATTCTTTCTTTTAAAGAGATGGAGCCCATAAATTATCACCAACATTACATGAAGAAATGCAATACATTAATAAGTTATTCTAAAAACAAAAAGGTGTACTTTACAAGTGATGTGATGTGCTGGCCTGAAAGTGATAATTTTCTGTCAACAAACTCACTCACCTAGTTACTTTCATACTTAATTAATTTGACTACAACAGCCATCATCAAATTAAGGTTTTACCTGTGTTGTCCTGTAAAGCATTGATTTTTCTTTTTATTAAAAGATGACTAAAGGATCTAGGTTAGTTAGAAAGAAGACAATTTTAACACATCCCTTTGACTATGAGATTGAAAACTTTGTATATGAAAGACTGTCAGGACATTTAGTTTGGTGAAGATTCACACAGAAATAATTCATGTTTTCATTTTTTTCACACAACGTACTGAATATCTTAAAAATGAGTCTTGGATAGAATGTTAAAAATCAGTGACATTTCTGACATTCTGAGTACACAGGACGATTATGTATTGTGTGTGGTTCTGCCATATAAAGCACATTACACAGTCTCAAGGTGTTAAATTTAAATAAAACAAGCTACCTGGAAGAACTGTCAATCTGCTGCACGCAATTCTCAAGTGCATAAATAATACAAACACTGAGAGTTAACCAAACTGCAGATGTTACCAAATCTGACTTCAGTTTTTGATTTATTTTATTCTGAACTTACTACCTACATATTTTCCTTAAAATGTCCAATGACTGAATCCTTTTGCCTATTTGGAATATTTATATCAAAAAAGTAGTTTAATACTGAATGAGGAGAGGGAAAATTGTATTTCTGAACTATGGGCAATAACATGTGGTCCATGTGTCTACAGATGTTTGGTTAGTAAATGCTCCACCATTTCTCCAGCAACTGTCATCCTGTCAAATTGCCTTATCTTTTATAATGATATGAATAACTCATAACTTATCTGATATCCTGCTTTAGCTATACAACATAATCAAATATAATCATAGATATATACTTACGTCTAGAGAAGGCTGAACCAATAACAAAACAGAAGGTAATCCCAGCTGTACAGTAGAACAAAAGGATGAGCCATATCAGAAAGAAATCTGAATGATGCAGTACTGCAATATCACCAAATGGCACTTTCAGTATAATTGTAATTATGGTGACCGTAACTACATTCACAAGTAAAGCATTTATCATCCAACTAAGCCATAGCATCCATGTCTTCAGACCCATCATCTTCATCAATTCCTGTTAAACAGATTTTTTAATAATAAAAATAGCATATAAAATGGTCCAGAGTATAAAAACTGGAATATTTATGAGGAGCTAACTGACTAGACACACAGCAAACATGGTCAGTTCTCATTAAGTTAAAAAATAACACAATAATGATATTTTTAATATTCTTATAAATGAATAACTAAAATTAATATGAATGGAACATCAAAATATCCTAACTAACTAACTAGATGGCTTACCGAACCCGAAGGTTCATCACCGAATTAACCAAAGCCCTCCACCGGACCCTGTCCTGGGCCAACAAAATCCAGTCTCCTTCAACTCCTATCTCCCATAGATCACGCCTGAGATTATCCTCCCATCTACATCTAGGTCTCCCCAGAGGTCTCTTCCCCTCAGGCTTCCCAAATAGTGGACCCAACCAACCAGATGGCTTACTGAACCCGAAGGTTCATCACCGAATTAACCAAAGCCCTCCACCGGACCCTGTCCTGGGCCAACAAAATCCAGTTTCCTTCAACTCCTATCTCCCATAGATCCCGCCTGAGATTATCCTCCCATCTACGTCTAGGTCTCCCCAGCGGTCTCTTCCCTTCAGGTTTCCCAACCAGTACCCGGTGCACACCTCTTGTCCCATCCATGCGCGCTACATGCCCGGCCCATCTCAATCTTCTCGACTTAATCACCCTGACAATACTGGGGGAGCAGTACAGATTTTTAAGCTCATCATTGTGCAGTTTTCTCCACGCCCCATCATCTTCCCTCTTAGGCCCAAATATCCTCCTCAACACCCGATTCTCAAACACCTGCAATCTGTGTTCCTCCCTCTAAGTGAGAGACCATGTTTCGCACCCATACAAAACATCCTGGAATGAAAAATCATTAAACCTCTCTTTCTTTCTCTCTCTCTCTTTTTTCTTTTTTCCCCCGATAAATGTACATGGGAATTTCATAAGCTTAACATTTTGAACGCTATAAAAACATTTCTCACTCATGAATACTGGCCACTTCTGTTTTGAATCCTTTAGTGTTTAACAATATCAAGTGATTGCAGGAGGCACTGTTCCTACCTCCCCTTCTTTAATTCAAATTATTTGTAATGCTTGATTGGAGAAATCTGTGTCTGAGTTACCATGGGTTTGATTAATAAAATTCAGTACAGTCAATGCAACAGGCTACTAGAGTAAGTGCAACGCAAGTGAGTTATAGCAGAAGTAAACTTTTAGAAAGAATGGAGAAATTACTGTTGCTATGGGTGGATGACATGAATCGAAAAAACATTCCCTTAACTGAAATTGCTATCACGGATAAGGCGAAGTCAATTTTTGAGGAACTTTAGTCATCAATGTTTGGGAGCAGGGAACGCATGTCATTGACTTCCCATTGATTTACATTATAAAAAGAGTTTCAATTTATGCCGATTCCATTTACGCCGGTTCGTCTAGGAACGCATCCCCAGTGTAAATCGAGGGGTTACCTGTAGTTGTTACCAGTGGGCTTTAAAGAGTTAAACACATATACTAAAGCAATGGACAATACCCAGCACAATTATGATGTAATGATTTAACCATCATGACAAATCTTTACAGAACCCAGTGTAATGTCACTAGTCATTATACGAATTCATCACATATTTCTGTTTTTTGCAATGACATATATATATTTAATTAAGAGAAAATGCATAAACAAAAACACTGTGGATTGTTGCTTCCTATACAGTGATGCTGTATAGTTTGTAAGTAGTTACTAAGATTTTGGAGGAACGTAACCTCAAGATAAAGGTAAAACACTTCACTGAAATGTTGATAATCACCTAAAAGACTACATAACATGACAATTGAGAACATCTCAATCCAAATTTTCAACACCATAAAAACTTCAAATCTTCACACAAACATATTTTACACTTCAATTATTTTTGACCTAGGCAATTAAAATCATTTTTCAGTTATATATCAATAAATCAAATCAGTAATGAATGTAATGTTATCAGATATCTTCATCCATACCTTCACTCCAGTTTCTTTTTCTTCCACAATCCTCTTCAGAGTGGATGGACACAGCATCAAAAAACTGAGAATTGTGAACAGTGGTAGGACAGTAGTGAAAATTGTTATGAAGACATCATAATTTTCTGAATATTCAGGATATGGAAATTTCTGAACAGAAAACTGTAAAAAATAATCATACATATTAAAACAGGCCTAACTGCAATATGTAAATATCACATTTACCTTACAATCTACTGCTTTTCCTCAGTATCTTTACAGCTGGGTCCTTGCTATAATGTGGATGATATAATAGGCAACCTCCACATTGGTATTTTTAAAAATATCTCATTATAATGCAGTCTCATGACACAGATCTTGAAAAATCTGTTACAAAACGGGCCCTTCATGGTAATGTGCAGAATGTTCCTCTCACTAGAAGCCCAGACTTTCAACAATAAAACCACTATTTATGCACTCTGAAACTGCATCTAGTCTCAAGCGATGCTCAAAGTGGTCACCATGGATGTCCATTCACAACTGGATGCAATACTCAAAAAGGTAAATACATGTAACATGTCCAAAGGACTGGCTGCAATCTCCTGGTAAATGTTTTCTCTGAGGCAGTCAATGGTATGAGCAAGTGGGTACTTTGAAAGAGGTTTCTACATCAAAATTCTGTGTACATTATGAAGCATTACAGATTATTCTCCTGTCTGGCATCAGTTTCTGACACTCAGAATAAGATCTTATGATATACAACATATTTATAATTATGACAAACTGCATACCTAGGTGAAACCATCATACAATTACTGTAATTTAATACATAAATACAATCTGATAAGTTCTCAGTCACCATTTGATGAATTGCAATACAGAGTTTATATAATGCTTTTTCTGATAAGCCTATATTAAAATGATATAAGCATAATGATTCATGGATTACTGACATATAATTGTATAGCATATTAATTATTATCAGTCAAGTGCCAATGTTTCCTTTGTATCCTAATGATACTAAACTTAACTACTATATGTTTTTTTAAAGATCTGCTTTCACATATTTCATAACATTATTATGAATGGCACTAATGTCCTTCCACTCTCTGTATATATCTGAACAGAGCTGTTTACACTCTACAAAATCATACTTTCTTTTGACAACCAGCCCACAAACATATGTATTATTGGTCCTGTTAAAGGTTTACAGACTGCACACCTACAGTGGTAAGCAAAGGGGCAATTTTATGTTGAATACCATACTTTTAGCAATAACCTGTGCTGTCAATATATTGATCCCATTATGTCATGTGATGTATGTTGCTTAATAATACCTCCAAACTAAGCAAGTAGAAACTGACTAATGTTTCAGAAATGTTTCCTGCCTGCTGATGATGGAGGCAGGAAGCACCTCTGAAAAATGTCAGTTTCTACCAGTGTAACATCCCAGAAAATCATATTTGTACTTGCCACCTTGAAAACCTGAAATTTTACCAAGCGGAATTTTAAAGTAAAATACGGAAATGGCAAGTACAAAAGAGTGCTGAACTTCATGGTTTAGTGATTACAAGGGTCACTCCAAAAGTAATGCCGCACATTTTTTGCTACTGATACATTTTATATGTACGGCCGTTAGGAGGAAAATCATATTTTTCACATATCACCTCCACTCTCAACTGCTATTCTGTACTTCTTAACAAGTCCTTGTATACCCGCCTAGTAGAACTCAGAACCTGCATTCCTCAGGCAATTTTTCGTCGCTGCCACAACAGATTCCACTTTTCCCAGATAATTGCTTAGCCAACGATAAGCTGTGCTTCGATCAACAGCATCATCCCCATTCATCTTCTGCAATCGCTTGTAGATGTTTCCCACTGTCTCGTTCTCGCACACCAAAAATACAATACGTTTCTTCCAACGAACTTCAAAAGCATCCGCCATTCTAAATGTATGGAATAACAACGCCACTAGCGGGAAGTCAATAAACTAAGCACGAATAAAAGCGGGAAGAATATACCAACAAGCTGCTAAAAAAGGAAAGCTGTGGAATAAAACAGTTTCTTTAAAAATGTGGGGCATTACTTTTGGAGTGACCCTCGTAGCATGTCTATTTCATATTTTGGATAATTTTGATTGCAAGACCAATTACCATGAATGTAAAGCTATTCCATAAACACAATTAGATAAATACCTTACAACTAGATGGCTTAGAGAACACAAAGGTTCATTACCGAATTAACCAAAGCCCTCCACCGGTCCCTGTCCTGGGCCAGAAAAATCCAATCACCTTCAGCTCCTATCTTCAATAGATCCTGCTTTCCCTCAGGCTTCCTGACCCACACCCAGTGTACACCTCTGCCTCACCCAGGAGCACCACATGCCCTGCCCATCTCATTCTTCTTGACTTAATCACCCTGACAATATTGGAGGAGTATAAATTTTTATGCACATCATTATGCAGTTTTCTCCATACCCCATCCTCTTCTCTCCTAGGCCCAAATATCCTTCTCAACACCCCAACACCCTATTCTCAAACATCTGCAATCTATGTTCTTCCCTGTGAGTGAGGGACCACGTTTCACACCCATACAAAGCAACAGGCAAAATTATTGTTTTCAATACCTTACAACAGGCTATGTTAATTTCCATACACATTATTCATAATTATCTTATAGTACTTTAACACTTTTGATAAAAAAATTGTTAAGAAGACCATTAATGAATATACAAGAACAAGCACAGAACTTACTTGAAAGGCAGAAGCATTTATTTCTTGTAGTTCCATGAATGCTTTATCCACTAGTAGTTGGAGACTCAGGAAGGAAGAATAAAGATAGGATTCTGTAAGGTGATTACATAATTATTTTCTTTCCTTCTTTACTCACATCTACAAGGCTAAACATTTTTAAATAGCAAATCAATAAGCAATATTTTAAACAGAATGACAAGTTCCTTGCTGCACAAAAGTTGTTAGACCACACCGATTAGTGGTAATTAAGACATATTTATTAAATATTTGACAATTCTTACCAAAAAATGTTGGAAAAATTGAGAATACAGGTAACAAATCTGCAGTGTTGAAATATGTGTTTGAAATCCGGATTTTGTACTTCAAATTATTTGGTCGACCTCCATTTGGAGGCAAATCTTCAAATACAACAGCATGAATAATACTCCTGGTATCATTTATGGCCTCATAGTGGCTGAGCAATGCATCTTCACTATCAAAAGCCTGTGTACCTTAAACAGAAGCAAGCACACAAGAATATGACAAACTACTTTCATCTCTCTTACAGAGCTGATTGTTATGATGTTTACTCCACATTGAGATGCAACTGAGACACAACAGCCTTTATACTACATTGGATTTTCTGAAAAATACTGCTATAACAAATTTACAGATGTCATGCTTTTTGTTCCACTGAAAAAGTCAAACACTGAAACCACAACTATGTTAGCAGGATGCTCACCAAACATAAGATTAAGATTGTAGGCATCCTGCCAAGAAAAATCCACATTTTTCTCATTAAAGAACACCAGGCTCTTAAAATACAAACAAAAAACAGCAAAAAGCAGCAATGCAAAGGCCACTATCACAACAAAAAAATGTCATACATCCTCATGTAACAAATAAAAACAAATTTTTAGAATGTATATGTACTTTTAAACAAAACTGCACAGTATGTAATATTTGAAATTTTCACAGCGGTGAGTCTTCTGGGTTGTTGCACTGTGTAGTCTGGTAGAAGTTTACCGATGTTTCAGAGGTTCTTGCTACCTCCATCATTGCCCTGAAACGTCGGTAAGCTTCTACAAGACTATATGGCACAACCCAGAAGACAGCCATCTTAAAACAACACAGACTAATCTATACCAAAAAATTAATCCTTAAGGATTCAAACAACAGTTACTCCTATTTTTAAGAATGAGGTAAGAATGATTGTAAAAAAATATATGGAGCCATCAGCCTTCTTGCTTCTGATTTTAAAAATTATGCCAAAATCATCACAAGATGTCTGAATATTACAAGGCCTTTTTATATGAAGGAAAGCAGCTACCATTATTGCAATTACTAATGCCCATTATTAAGTTATTATATAAACATATATAAAAGGACATCTTATTAAAGTGAGAAATGTTACATTACTGATCAAGATGAACATAAATGTATTACATGATTTAATCCACAACTACCAATTTTTATGTTGGTTTAAGAAATGTGGATTATATTTGAGGAACACAAATTTCGGCCTAAAATAATAAGATAAAAGCTAACTGTAAGCTCGATGTGATTCAAGATATAAAATGTGTGATCTCATTTTATTTTAATACATGAAAAACTGTTACTTACCAACTGACAAATTTCCACTAGATTCAACATTATCCATTATGTATCTTGTAAAACTATTGTTTGGGGCATAAAGTAGAGATGAGTCATACATTAAGTACTGTTTCAGCATGTATTCATACTTAACTGGAAAATACTTTGCTGGGTTAATAACAACAGAAGATGTTATCATAAACCGTATCACAGCAGCCACAATAAAAAGTACAATAGGAATCACAATCTCAAATGATGTTGCAATCCAGTGCCTTTTGCGAAGTAGCAGATTTTTCCACACAACAAGACCAAGTTTCCTTAGCAACATGATTCTAGCTTCATTAACGAGACAGTTAAGACCAAGTGCATATTAGTGTCTAAGGTATGAAGGAGACAACTGCTCAGTTTTAATGCAAGAAATATCTTATCTCTTGATTAAACACTGTATGTTTATGACGTGGGTAAATATGACTCATGTGTTAACATGCCTCTCCAATGAAAGCCAGATTAACCTGATAAGGCTTTTCAGTTCTTTACTTTGTGACAAATGTCTGATAATACTGCCATGTGACGTATCTTGAAATATACCATCTGGATATTATGATAAGCTGCACTCAAGACAAATGTAGTAAATGTTTATTGGGAGGGGGGATAGTAAGAATTATAAAAGTACAATATGAAACTGCAAGATTATGCAGGTGTCATTTGTTTCTAATCTGAATGGGAAGAAGATTAACCTATAAGATGTCATAAAGGAATGTGTCTAATATAAACTCAGAACATAAAACAGACACAGTTTTCGGAATGGATATGCAGGTTAAGCAATATTACGCAGAGAATCAATTATCATTTCTGATTAGTCACAATATTACAAAGTACATTTTAAAATTTATTTTGTCATATCTTACACAAGTCATTTAATTTTAAGAAGCTCCTTTAGTTAAAACTTCAATAATGCTCACTGAATGCTTCAAGCAGTGCAGCCAAGATGTGACAGCAATTTATGAAGAAAAATGTGAAATCACACTATTCAAAGTGGCTAATCAAATTCCTCTGTAGAACTGAAGTCCTGTGTCAAAGACTATTATTATTCAGTAGTATTAATTGGAAAGTTAATTTAATGTCATGTTTAGAGTTAATGTGGTTATTTTTCATTCATAGTCTCTTCTGCTCCAATCATAAAAAAAGGCCAAAATTATACACTCCATTAAGCATAGTACTTACTTACTTATCCATTTTCCTCATTTAAAAATTATAGGCCTAATACAATTTACAACATAAACCTAAACTGACAGTATAAGATTTTCTGTACTTGCTCTTCCTTACCACCTCTTCATTTTAAACCGCTCATCAATCCCCTTGCCAGGGTATGCTATTTTCTTTTGTTTGTACTTGTAAGAAACCCAACTTTTGTCTGCTAGGTAATAAGGTTTTGTATTATCCACTTATTGTCCTGCTTCTCTTTTCTTAGTTTATGATTCCTGTGTATTTAATTTATATTCAGAACTATTGTAAGCTAGGGATCGACTATGGACAGCTGATACTGAGTGATGTAGCAGTACTTGAAGTACTTGGGAAAGCAGAGGTCTTGGGAGTTCCCGGACTTGGAAATTCCCTTGTATCTGAATTACCTACTCTTAGCCTAAGTTAGTGATGCCCTTTTGGAAGTAAAAGTGTGGGAGGGACTCCCTGAGGGTTGGGTGAAAAGGGGGAGGGCTTTCGAACCGAACCTGGACCCACGCCAATAGGAGCTGAGGTTACATTTCCTTTTGGGCAAAGCTGGGAATTTTGGTTGTGGAGCCGTAAGGGGGCTTATGGTATAAAAGGGACCATTTTGGCAGCAGAGAAAAAATGTATTCTTTCTTCGATTCCATTCCCTTCCATTCAATAAACATTCTATATTTGTATTCAATATTGGACATTTGGTATTCTATATACTGTACCCAGTATCCTGTATTTAGTTTTCTATATTCAGTATTCAATATTCAAGATTCAACAGTGCAGATTCAGAGGGCCTTGACATTGTATTACAAACTAAACAAAAGATGCAATGTACAGCCTATGATATACTTTGAAATGTCTCTTGACCTATTGGTTTTTGAAGAACAATTACTAACAAGTGATAATGTTAGTTATATTGCTTACAAAACTTTAATTGAAAACAACAAAAACCTTAATGTCATATAAATAAATATCATCAATATAAAACAATGTGAGTTAGTTCTGTGGTAGCATACTAGATTTGTACACGTGGTCTCTGGCTTAGCCATCTTGTTTCCTATGGACCTCTTGCCCTTCTCAGTATCCTTGTTTTATCCACTCCAAACCACTGTACATTTTGTATTCTACACACATCAGATAGTGTAAACCAACTGTTCTCAAACTATGGTACTGGGACCCTTTGGGGTACTACAAATCCTTATTCTTATACATAACAGCATGAATTAAACACAAGCTCTGAGCAATCCTGTGTCACAAACCATTTAAAATGAACTAGGATTGTAAGCTTTCAGCAAAGCTAATATATCTCAAAAGATGTGAAATATAACCAAGCTGTACTTTATTTTCTATCAGTTATACATATGTAAGTTGTGTATTTTCCAAGTTTATTTTGCATGGGGTACCAGACCTTTCTTTGCCTTAATCAAGGATACCAAAACATATGAGAACAAAAGTTCTATGGAATGGTGGTGCAATATATACAAAGACTAAATACAGTATAATAAAACTTCAAAAAAATTCTTCAAGCATAGAAGCATATTAGAAATATAGAGTATTAATCTGCATTTCGGCCTCATAAAATACATAAAATTAGTATACTGCAAGATGTACAGTAGTATCATTTAGGGATTATAAAAACACTGGAAACTCAGTATAATAAAATTAATTACCATGTCATACAGAGTATTTCTTCTTTAACGTATAGTATATAGTACAGTAGACAGGGTGAGTCAGAAGTATGTTTATAAAGTTCGTGTGCGTGTTCCAGGATCAAAAATAAGAAAAAATGTTCCTATGAATATGGGGTCGCAAATGTTTCATTTTCGAAATAATAGCCAAAAATTAGTTTCAATGAATTGGCTTTATATCAAAGTGAATCCAGTTTCCAGCAAAAATTTTCAATAAACGTTTGGGCAGGAATTGTTGGCGACATGCTTATTGGTCCACACATGCTTCCTTCGCGTCTAGAGGACTTTCATATTGGTGATTCTTAAGAAGACACTTGCCACGTCTCCTTGAAACTGTACCACTGAATACAAAAAGACAAATGTGGTTTAAGCATGACAGAGCCCTAGCACACTTCTCCCATCGCGTCAGATATCATCTCAATGAACACTACTCTCAACGATGGATTGGGCATGGTGGCCCAGTAGCATGGCCACCGAGGTCACCGGACCTGACTCCATTGGACTTTTTCCTGTGGGGTCACTTGAAGTCCGTCGTTTATGCAACACCCATAAACAATGATGATGACCTATGGGAACGTGTGCAGAATGCATGCCAGATGATTCGAGGAAACCCTGGTGTGTATGAACGAATTTGTCAGTCTAGTGTATGTTGTGCTCGTGCATGTGTGGAGAATGGAGGAACAACCTTTCAGCATGTTATAAAGAAACATCCCTGTCCTTATACTTGGCAATAAGGGCATACTAACTAACTAGATGGCTTACCGAACCCGAAGGTTCATCACTGACTTAACCAAAGCCCTCCACTGGACCCTGTCCTGGGCCAACAAAATCCAGTCTCCTTCAACTCCTATCTCCCACAGATCCCACCTGACATTATCCTCCCATCTAAGTCTAGGTCTCCCCAGCAGTCTCCTCCCCTCAGGTTTCCCATCCAATACCCGGTGCACACCTCTTGTCCCATCTATACGCGCTACATGACCTGCCCATCTCATTCTTCTCGACTTAATCACCCTGACTATACTGGGGGAGGAGTACAGATTATACGGGCATACACTGAAAATTATTTTTGGCTATTATTTCGAAAATGAAACATTTGTTACCCCATGTTCATATGAACTTTTTTTTTTGATCCTAGAGCACATACACGAAGTTTGTAAACATACTTCTGACTCACCTGTATACATAAAAAGAACTCTAGCACCAAATATGTAAAGTATGAACACAAAAAAATAATTTTTGAGATTTCAGGTCCTCACTGTGATGAAGATGTCAACTGTAGTATTTTGGCTTGAGAAAATGTACTCTTGTAAATGGTTAACAATGCTTTTGGAGAAACAAATAGCCTCCATCTTCAGGGTCCAACCTAGAATAAATCACCTGAATATTCAGGTTTTAACCCTGAAAGTGGTGATTCATTCTTCCAAACATCAATAATAACATACAAGAATGCATGGTGTCACAATTAGACAACCACACTTGACAAGAATACTTACAATTTCTTGACTGATACTGGATCTGTTTTAACACATTGAAATATTCTGACAGCATTAGCCTATTAATTTCCTTATCCTAAAACCAGCAGATCACTGTGTAACAAAGATATATCAAAAAACTGATACAATTTAATTTTATTTAAGGCAGTTGTCAAAGTAAGTATAATGATGAACAACAAATATTCTAATCTTAAAACCTTGCATACTGTGCAGTGTATTGATATATAAAATCATGCATACCAACAAAATTGTTTACTCATTACATATTTAATGTGTAAACAGTTTTGTTTGTACATATGATTTTATAAAAGAATTTTTTAAATTAACAATCTCATGACTCATTAATGCTGGAGAAAATTCGATCAGAAATTCTGCTAAAATAATTCCTGTTTTCAGTGTATCAATATACTGAAGAGTGGGCAAGTTTTGTGCAGCAGGTTCAGTACCAGATAAAAATAAAACAAAATATTAATGTTTTGACTGAAAGGAAACTGGACAACAGACATATTTTAGCTACGGCTATAGAAAACGTATGTACACAAATAATGCAGTAAGAATCTGTTATTGTAGGTGGTTTCAGGAAAAAGTCTTCAGTGGACTTCTCAACCCATAATGTAGAAATGTGGTTTTCAGAAGTCAAAATAGCTGCTTGCAAGTTCAGAAAATCAGAATGCATATTATAACATCCCTCTGCATGACCTACTGTGTGGAGCATGAAATGATATCCAATTAAAAGTTTAAATATTCATATGAAGATACATATATATTTATAAACACAAAGAATAATTCACGGAGATTTATCCTTTATGGATTACATGCTCAATATCATCACGGTTCTGTCATGCAACTTCAGAAACACAAACAGCTACATTTGTGATCACACAATGGCACATATCCTCCATGACTTCACCACACATTTGAACAACTGAAGTCCTTAGTTGCAATACTGAGGGTTTTCTTTTTTTGAAAAGTTTTTCCTTAAGTTAACCCCAAAGGAAGAAGTCACAGAGGTTTATTTTCAGGCTATTGGGCAGTCACTTCTGTCCACATCCATGCCAAGCAGGATATTGGTGGCTGCCAAATAGCCTGGCCAAAAATCCTGCAGCTTTTTACTTTGGGGATACCTTAAAGAAAAACTATTTTCAAAAAGAAAACAGCCCCAATAACGCAACTCTGGGTTTTGATTGTTCAAATGTGTGGTGAAATTACAAGGACATGTGCAGTCATGTGACCATGAACATAGCCATTCATGTTTTGGAAGCTGCATGGCATAAAGGTGGTCATATTGAGCATGTAATCCATAAAAAATATCCATGAATTGTTCATATATATGTATTTATTACAGGTACAAAAAATAAATAACAGTACAACAATGGTCCCTGCCTGTTTGCTCTCTTGACTTGTCTGCAACAACTCTAGGCTTCGATTGTTCAAATGTGTGGTGAAATTACAAGGACATGTGCAGTCATGTGACCATGAACATAGCCATTCATGTTTTGGAAGCTGCATGGCATAAAGGTGGTCATATTGAGCATGTAATCCATAAAAAATATCCATGAATTGTTCATATATATGTATTTATTACAGGTACAAAAAATAAATAACAGTACAACAATGGTCCCTGCCTGTTTGCTCTCTTGACTTGTCTGCACTATACCCCACTCCTCTAGTACACCATGGCGCTTTAAGATAACAACTGGCTTCTACATCCCATAAAAATTCTAATAAAATAATTAGTTACAGAAGATGTCAAAAATTTGTCGTCAACACATGAAATACAAATGACAGTTGCCAGTGCTTTCAGTCTGATAAGATGAAACTTTATTCAACTTCTGAATTTAAATATAGACAAATTCCTTCTTAACAGCATTTACTATGTATCTAGTGATTCTATATACAATAATGGTAGATTTTTGCACTTACTGTGAGACTACCCCTAATAATTATTATCACCTTTAGAATAAAAGATGATGAAATGAAAATTTTAATAGAAATTTCCTGCAGTATGTCTTATAAGCTGTATCTGAAAAATATTCCACAAAGCAAGACATAATGTTTTAAAGTGTATTTCAACTTACACCATTGTATTTTTCTTCCACAGCAGCAAAAGGGATCTGAAGTCAATATTTTAGGTCTGTAATTCTCAACAGACAATTATCACAAAGCTGACAGGCAAATGCTCATTGTCTATCAAGGTTTTAGCATTAACAGACAGGAACAAGACAGCATGTAAAATATTTGTGCACAAGCCCTACTGTGGAGGAGAACCAAGGTGTATATTACGAAAGTTAAAAGTAATATAATATTAGACACACGCAACAGTGAACAGCATTAGCTACCACAGCCCTGCTGATAAGATGTGCTTACAAAATACTGTGCAGATGTTTAATCAATGGTAATGTCAGGAACCTAATTCTGCAACCTAGCAAATGATAGGAATACTTGTTCCAGTGTTGTCTCACTTATAGTATAATCTTCCACCACATCATAATCTTGCTTCACTTCTTCCATTGTTGTGAAGAGATATTTCCATGGAATGTTTGGATCCGTTACGTGATAGTGTAGCAAACCCTATTAAAATAAATATATTTAGTGCACTAATTTCAAGTTACCATGTTAACTCTAACAATAGAAGACTATGTAACATGCTTACAAGGGACTTCTCTACAAAAAGAGTTCTACTTCAGTTTTTTTAATCACCTGTTATAATACCAAAGAGAAAATTAATTATCAGTATAGAGAAGTCTGATGTCACCCTCAGTGGACAAGTGGTTAGTGTGCTCACCACTGGACCCAAGGTTCGTGGGTTCAAACCCGGCTGAGGTCAATAGATTTTTAAGGGTGATAAAAATCCGTAGCACAACTTCCTTTGGAGGGGAAGTAAAGCTGGCGGTCCCATGTAGATTTACAGAATGTAAAAGAACCTTATGAGCATAAAACAAGATGTTTCATAAGCAAAATTCAGTAGCCATTTCTCACCCAAGTCTCTCCTGATTCACTACTAGATGGCTCTAGCAGTCAAATCAGGATTGAGTAGAAACTGTGCAGAGGCAGTGGGCTTGTCACTCATTACTCACAAATGCACACTTAAAAGAATAGGAAAACCTCCGAAAAGGAGGTGGCGAAGACCCACAACTGGGTTGCAGAGCCAAGAAGAATAAGTTTGATATAATACTCAACACAATACACCAAAGAATACTGCGACACATCTACATGAGAATCTCTAGCACACACATACGAGGGTCGCTCATTAAGTAATGCCCCACATTTTTTTCCTCAGAATATATTTATTCAAGATGGCTGAAATTTAGTGACAATATAAATCAATGTTTCCCTTACACATACTATTTTTCCACATAGTCCCCATCAACTTGTACGGCTTTACGCCATCGTGGAACAAGTGCGTGCATGCCTTGCCGGTACCAGCTCTTGTCCTGTGCACGTAGCCATGTCCTCACTGCTTGAATCACGCTCTCGTCATCTTCAAATCTTGTTCCGCGGATAGCATCTTTAAGTGGCCCAAAGAGATGGAAGTCGGAGGGTGCCAGATCTGGACTGTAGGGTGGATGGGGTAGCACCGTCCAACCCAATTTGGTGATTTCTTCCCGGGTTCTCGGACTTGTGTGAGGGCGTGCATTGTCGTGCAGGAGCAAAATTTCTGCTGGATGCTTGTGAGGCCAAACTCGTCGAAAACGCTTCTTGAGGGTTTTCAGGGTCCCGATGTACGCGTCTCGCACCTCTTGGCATTACATCCACAAGAATGAACCCATCACTGTCCCAAAAGTGAAGAGATATTTCCATGGAATGTTTGGATCCGTTACGTGGTAGTGTAGCAAAGCCTATTATAATAAATATATTTAGTGCACTAATTTCAAGTTACCATGTTAACTCTAACAATAGAAGACTATGTAACATGCTTACAAGGGACTTCTCTACAAAAGGAGTTCTGCTTCAGTTTTTTTAATCACCTGTTATAATACCAAAGAGGAAAATTAATTATCAAAACCTATCTTTCTTATTTTTATCAGTACAGAGAAGTCTGATGTCACCCTCAGTGGACAAGTGGTTAGCGTGCTCACCACTGGACCCAAGGTGCGTGGGTTCAAACCCAGCTGAGGTCAATAGATTTTTAAGGGTGATAAAAATCCATAGCACAACTTCCTTTGGAGGTGAAGTAAAGCTGGCGGTCCCATGTAGATTTACAGAATGTAAAAGAACCTTATGAGCATTAAACAAGATGTTTCATAAGCAAAATTCAGTAGCCATTTCTCACCCAAGTCTCTCCTGATTCACTACTAGATGGCTCTAGCAGTCAAATCAGGATTGAGTAGAAACTGTGCAGAGGCAGTGGGCTGGTCACTCATTACTCACAAATGCACGCTTAAAAGACTAGGAAAACCTCCGAAAAGGAGGTGGCGAAGACCCACAACTGGGTTGCAGAGCCAAGAAGAAGTTTGATATAATACTCAACACAATACACCAAAGAATATTGCGACACATCTACATGAGAATCTCTAGCACACACATAAATTTAGAAAAACAACAGCTGAAATTTGTTGCAGTACTGCGACTTACAACTTTTTTCTTCCTTTCTTTACCTCATCAGTGTTCAATGATATACAAGGAAGAGTACTAGACTGAGTAGATAATGAGAATTATGGAACAGCAGCGATATTCATTAAACTGCTGTTGAGAAGCAGAGTCAGACAAAATTATACAAACATAAGAGAAAGTTTTAATTATGTACATCAAATGATTTACCTCATGTTCATCCTTAAGAACACAACCAGAATTGAAACTGTCTTCAATCTTGCTTTTTAATTTGTGTACAATGTGTTCATCAGTTTCAGTTGCTCTCACTTTCACCATCACAGTAAAGCCCTGACCAAATTTCTGTTTCAGATACTGGATACCTCCCATGCACACAAACTGTCCATCAACCAAGATGGCCAACCTGTTACATAGTGCTTCACACTCCTCCATGCTACAACACAAAATATTGATATAATATGCAGGAAAAAATAATGAATATTAGCAGAAAAGCCAAAACTTTTAGAGAGCAATAAAAAAATTAGCTGAACAAAAATTGCATATTTCTGATGCTCTATCATTACATGCAAGCAGTGGCACTCGCACTTTAAAAGTTTATATGTCTCCCATTTTGGTATCATTAAGTTAGAAAATTGTGAAGTAGAAAGTATGAAGGGTTTTACTTCACAATCAACAACTTCTTAAATTCAAAATGTTGAGCAACATGGGGTGGGTGGAGGGATGTGTATAGGTAAAATAATAATCCTGAAAATGAATCTTAAAAAGATTTTACTTGTATGCATTAGTATGTGATTACTCATAAGAGAATCTAGTGATGGAATCATATTGTTACAGATATGAACCACTGTGTTCCAGAAGAGAAGGAAGTTTGTTATGTTAAACACACCTGTGTGAAGTAAGCACTATAGACTGGCCAGACTTCTGAATTGACGTCAACACAGTCCACAGGTTCCGCCTGGCCAGAGGATCAACTCCACTTGTTGGTTCATCCAGGAAAACAATAGGAGGGTTCCCTATCAGAGCTATGGCTGTACTCAGCTTACGTTTGTTACCACCACTGTATGTTCCACAGAGCCGGTTCTCATACTCCTTAAGACCTGTTAAAAATAATGTTCACTCTCATATTTTTCCAATAGCAACAGTGCACTTTAAAATACTAATAATTTTGCACTATTATTAAAACGAATTCTTTATCTTATGCCTTTCTGAACAAGGCTTGGTTG